GGTATAGATATAGCCTAAATAATCTGTGGGTATACTTGTAACATATCGTAGTTTCATAAATAATCATAGACATCTTCCAGTTGAAGTTGGGTCATACGAGTCTGCCTGCTAGTTGCTGAAGGAGGCAAATTTTCGTTTCAAATAGAAATGGCTGCTAGGGCTGTGCAAAATGGCAGCATTTTGTTTTGAATTTTGTTTCAATTCGAAACAGCTGTTCTGTTCCATTCCATTGAAACAGGGTTGAAATGGCACAACTGTTTTGACGTTTTGCCCGTAGGATATAATGGGGAAGGTCAAAACAGCCTATAACTGTCGAGGTTGAAACAGTAAAATCAAAATAAAATAGATATAGTCAAAACAGTCTCAAAACAAAATGGGGCGAGTCAAAACGTTTCACCATTTCGAGGATGTTTCGACATTTCGCCCATAGGCTATAATGGGGAAGGTTGAAACAGCCTATAACTTTGTCATTTCTGGCCTGATTTAGATGAAACTTGCAGGAATAGTAGCCCCTTCTGAGAGCATGAAGCCTGACAAGCTTCAAGGAGATAGGTACAGGGGGTTCAGGGAAACTGCACCCCAAAATCTTGAAGGGAAAACTCATGTCACCTGTATGTATTAAGCCACAGCAGGGTCAAAACTACAGATATGCTAGCCCCTGCTGAGGCCACAAAGCTTGCTAAGTTTCACAGGGACAGGTGCAGGAGGTTCAGGGAAATTGTTCCCCAAAGTCTTGAAAGCAAAACTTGTGTCACGTGTATGTGTTAAGCCACAGTGGGGTCAAAACTGTAGGCATGCTAGCCCCTGCTGAGGCCACAAAGCCTGCCACATTTCAAGGAGATAGGTGCAGGGGGTTTGGGGAAAATGTACCTCAAGCTGCAGACAAGCAAAACTCATGACATGGGTGACACTGTGTGCGCTTAGGCACAGCATGGTGAAAGCTGCAGGCCTGCTAGCTCATGCTGAGGCCACAAAGCCTGCCAGCTTTCAAGGAGATAAGTATGTTGCCCTGAGGGGTCAGGCCAATGCTCAGGATCTCAATATTGCGCTGTTAGACAGGAGGGTGTGACAAAATTGCACACATACACACACATACACTACGAGCTCAGGCACTTACACATCCAAATCAAGCACATACACTATACACCCCAAAAGTTAGACACAGATCACTAATTCATATATCATATCACACAATGCCATATATATAGATATATATATACACACACACACTCACCAGTTCACACATGTACAACCACCTACACATACATCACACAGGTAAGTTCCTAACTTGGATGGTACAGTGTGTATGTGTGTACTTAGGGTACCCGGGAGAAGGTTCAGGTGAGAGAGAGCGAGTTAAAGCATAGGGAGTGAAAGTTGCCAGAACTGGGATTAGAACCAGCAGACTACAGAGAAGCTGGCTGAGGAGCTGAGGCTTGGGTTTACTTAAGGTAGACTGGGGCTGGAAACTCAGGCATGCAGCTGAGGTATTGTGCGGGGCAGATAAATGGTGGCAAGGAAGAGACAGCCAGGAAAGAAACTGAAGCAGACACCTGGTTGCTCAGGGGAAAAGGAAAAGGCAGTAGGGATAAGACAGTGGCAAAGAAACAGGGGATTTGCAGGCAGAGAGGAGCTCAGGACAGGTGTTGGAGGTGGCAGTGAGCCAGAAGCAGGAGAGGGAGAAATGAGACAGAAGTTAAAGGGGTTAGGAGCAGAGATTGGAGCAGGGCCAAACCATCGTAAAGCAAAACCCAACTTAGGGGTCCAAATAACAGTTTTATTACACAGACAACACACTACACAGCCCCATGAAGTTATTGGTTCACACACACACAAGCACTCACAATGGCAGTAGAAGAAAGAGACTCAGTGGAAGGTTTGGAGTCCAGGTAGGGAAGAGAAGCAGAGTCCAAGTCCTTGGGTGAAGAGGGGGTGAGGGGTGACAGCTACCTATCCAGGCTGGAAAGGGGTCCTTGTCCAGTAGGTGTTGTCCAGAGGGGGGTCACCAGCAGGGCTTCTGGGTGCATAGATGGTATGGCACAGTCCTGGTCCAGATGGAGAGGGCATCCCACTGGGTCTGTCTTCACTGCCCCTTTTTATAAGAGCAGACCTTGTGTGACCCTAGTGACAGGAGGCATGCCCAGGCAAGGGTCAGCCCCGGCGTACTGAGCATGTGTGCCTCATGCAGGGATGTGCAGTTTCAGGTGTCTGTAATGGTGAGAGTTGCTGGTTTTACAGGGTCTTTTGTCTTTCAAATGCTGGGTTCTTGTCTCTGTTCCTGAGTGAGGTCTGTGGTTCCTGGATGAATCAATGCGAGGTTATGGCCCAGTCATTACAGGCCATTCAGTAGAGGCCTGCTACCACTGTATTTTAATCAT